TTGACCAGACTTCAAGATGATACATGAATCGTTTCTGGGTCTTTTGTCCTCCCATATGCTTCAGCAATGATGTGCGGTACTATTCAGGTCTTATTGTTTGTTGACGGGAATTGGATATCTTCTTTAAAATAATGTTTTCTTCTCTATGCGCTGCATGATCTGATTCTACTTGCTGGTTTACTGTAAGAGTTGAAAGTGTGAAGAGTCTAAAGTTTAGCAATTTGCAAAACATTCCCACTTAGCACGCGCAAAGTTTAGCAATCCTGCCATCACACACCTGTCTTCTACATCTCTAGTACAGAGGAGAGAAGGAATAACATGCGTACTAGTAGAACGTTTATTGAGTTTAACAATGGATTCTTTCTTATGAAAACGCAAGACTTTGTGCCCCATTAGAAATTCAACTCTCACAGTATTCGAATTCTTTGGCAGTTCATGTTCATGACCACTGATGCTGCAGAGAAATTGCAAAAAAGCGTGGTAGTTAAACTGTACATTCGCTGATCCACAGAACAACTGTTCATACTCATGTATTGCTCACTGTCTCTGGTGTCTCTAGTGTTATCACGATCATTACACACACAGTCCTGTTTGTCTGAGCCTTGATATTGATATACAGTCAGACCTCGCATAACCGCACACATCTGTTTTCCACAAAAAATATCCGGATAGGCGAGGGAATCGAACATGCATACTGTATGTATGCATGGCATGTGCTGTAAATCGGCAACCAACCATTTTCTTCCGGATGGCGAGGGATCCGGATACAAGAGTACCGCATAAGTGAGATCTGACTGTACCCAATTTATGCAATGAGATCTATGAATATGTGTCTGCATGGGGGAAGCAGACACACAAGGGCAGGCACACTCTATGCTCACAAGTGCTGCCATGCGTACATCAGTCAGTATAATTGCCTGCAAGACCTCTGATCCTATGACATACAGACTTGACTCGAGATCCACTGCGCATAGTAGCAACTTTTGGAAACGTTCCCTATTACATGAAGGGATCATGAAAAGCTGCTCCTCCAAGTCTGTTATTCGTGACGTGCAATTAATCATACATTGATGAACTGCTGTACTACAAGTGTCCACTGCTCATAGCAACACATGAAACAGCACTCCAACAATAAAACATTGCCTAGCAATCCAAAAATAGAGATGATGGGTTAGCCTTGAGGCTAACAACAGTTAGTGATAAGAATGATGCACTGCTCTCTATCGCGCGCTTCAACTGAGTTTGCTTTACATGTGCATTCAGCGGTTGCGGATGTGCTCCCAAACCGCCTTAGTTACAGTAGACTCGGACGCCCAAGAACGTAGCGCCCAAGAACGTCCAGGCTGGAAATCTAAGAACGCCCCAGCCTGGATTTAAGAACGAACTCCAAGATGTTTAAGAACGCAACGTTTTTTTGGTATTGCACGTTTTGCAAGCGGATTGGACCTTCATGATCTTGTCCGAGTACGAAAAACAAGTCCGCAACCACAAACTCTTGTCGGGTCCTCGCGAAAACATCACCCAGTGCAGCGCTACATACTACACGTGCATGTAAAGTTAAAGTGTACAACCGGTACATGTAGCGCAAAGTGCATTGTACATGAGTCATCGGTTCCGACCGTTGGAATGCACTCCCCGCTGCAGTCCGCTTATGCTCTTCACTGCACCTATTCCGTAATTCAGTACTTTCATTTCTAGGGTACCCTGTAAGAAGGCCTTAGGCCTGTGGGGATTGCCCTATCAAAAATTTGATAATAATAATAATAATAATAATAAGCGTCACGGGTCATGTTGGACGCGTAAGAACGCGAAATAAGAACGTAGCCTGGGGCGCTGAAAAATAAGAACTTTGCTAGGCTGGCCCTCTGAAACCGCGTTCTTGGGCGTACGAGTCTACTTTAGCTCTTGCTGCGTTGACTTGGGCTCACGCTTTCCTCTTTTGGGTCCCTGAGCAGCCATGCATGGGATTCTAGGTGCCACCACCCTCCCATTCACACTATACTTCAAGTGAGAAGAGCTTCCATTAACTGGTGTCTATGCTGCTACTATCTGTGCTTAAATTGCACACTATTGGTAAATTGTTTTGTGACGTAAATAGTATAGTCATTGCATCCGGTTGCAGGTTTCATTGCCGCACAAGCATGAGCGATTGATTTGGTTGTTTGCAATGTCTATTGCTTCACCCTGGTTGGCTGTTTGCAACGTGGATCAGGAACCTTTTCACCTGGTCCAGGGCAATGTTGCGGCTCACTCATGAGCAATTGCCTATTCGCAATGCCAATTGCTGCACCAGTTAATCGAAACCAGCACACTGGTGTAGCCAGACTATGCTTAAGCCATGTTATGAGAATACACGGGTATGCAACAACTTCACTCTGTGGCTTTCCATTGCATGTAGTCCCTCGGCTATCTCTAATGTACCTTAGGACCTGATTTCAACTTTCATCAAAATGTGACGTTAAAGTTACTCAAAGAAAACGCGACCGCAATCGTGAAGGCAATGAAGTCAAAGACGAAGTCGATCTTGAATTTTTTTGTTTGCAGGTTTGATCGATCAATCGATCAATTGTAGGTAGTCAGAATGGCGAGTAACGATGTAGGATTGAGTTTGTCGGTGTGCCGCATGAGGACGCATCTCTCCTAGATGAGCACGACGAGATGTTTTACTGCGATGTCTCCCCGGGTACGATGACAGTGACAGTGAACAGCTCCGTCCGTCTGACAATGACGAAGATAAGAGTTACAATGACTTGGAGCAGGAAGGTCCGCGTGTCGAGGAAACCCTAATCACCGCAGAGTAAGTGGACTGGATATCAATCGGATGCAGCTGCCCTGGTGACAATCACTTTGCTGCACTTGACAAGGACCTCTTGAAAATCTTGTCATGTCGCACCGCCAGCTGAAGCGCTGCTCTTGCCAAAGTCACGCCAACTCTTCAAAAAGTACGGACTGGATGAACTGGCTGACTCAGTGACTGCGAGATTCGCAAACCCGGCAACAATTATGATACTGCATACATGTACATAGCCGAATTGGACAACTATAGTGCATTCTACAATTATAGAGAATTCAAGGTACTTGCAAGGCTAATATTGATTTGAAAGTTTGTCACATGAAAGTCTACATACTAAAGACTTTAAGTACATTGTCCAAATAAAAGGCAATTTCAAAAATTTAACCCCTAAGGTCCATTTACTGAGATCATGGCTCAATTGTTAATGGAGAGGTTTTGCATTCCGAATTTCGGAATTATTTTCGGAATTTGGCGGCAGGAGTCGAAAATGTAGTTGAACTTTCGAAAGTGTGGTGGCGAAAATGCATGGTTTTCCGAAACTGGATTTTCGGCTCTTTCCTGTTTGGGAGCGCATACACGTATTTGAATATTTTTTCATGTGTGTATTTTTGTTTTCTACTGCTCTCGCTGAATATAATTATTTGAAAATTTTCCACGTGTGTAGTTTTGGTTTTTGCTGCTCTCGCTGATCTCGCCATGCTGACTAGATCTTCTCACACTCCATCACACTCTATCTTCCTTTGCCATGGAGCCTACTGACAGTACAAGACAGTAGTTCGACAACCTCGTCTTCAGCCGTTGGATCACTCGGTCCACCATCAGTCCGTCCTCGTCTTCGAACCGCGCCCAGATTCAGTTTGACCTGCACATGGATTTGATTCTGCTCAGGCAACCCCTACATGTATTTTGTGCTCAACCCCTTTGTTCGCGCCTCTGTGGGATCCGAGGAGACTGCAAAAGTTCTAGCCTTGTCTGACCCAAAATTTGCTGGTATCACCAGGAAGTCCGTCAGAGAACACCATGAACACACGCTGCTTCTGTTGGACCAGCAGTCCTCAAAACCGAATATGCAAGATTCGGTTGTAAAACGTTTTCGGTTTTGGCGCCTTCGACTCCCTCCATTTTTTTTGCATGGCAACCCTTGGAAACGAAATCGAATCAGATTTTCGGAATGCAAAACACTGAAAATGCCGTTTTTCGGCACGCACTTTTCTTCGGAAAGACCCAGTCGAAAAACATTCCGAAATTCGGTATGAAAAGCTCTCTAATAGAACCACCATCATAACAAAAAGCCGAATTGCCAGGTATGAAAGCTTTTTTTTCTTGGAAGAACAAACAAATCATGAAAAATTTCACTAATTATGTGATGGACAAAGAAGAAAAGGGGATAATAGTATAGCGGTTGGTGATGGACAATGATGGAAATTCAAAAAACCTAGTTATTGTACAGCTCTCATCAGGAAGAAAACATTGTTCTAAATAACACAAATTAGGCCAGAGGACTAATATTTTGAATTTCTTAAGTGAGAAATAACGCCTGTATAAAGGCTATCATCCGCACCCTGACACTCTCCTATCTCAACTCACTGCCTGACACTCTCCTATCTCAACTCACTGCCTGACACTCTCCTATCTCAACTCACTGCCTGACACTCTCCTATCTCAACTCACTGCCTGACACTCTCCTATCTCAACTCACTGCCTGACACTCTCCTATCTCAACTCACTCCCTGACACTCTCCTATCTCAACTCACTCCCTGACACTCTCCTATCTCAACTCACTGCCTGACACTCTCCTATCTCAACTCACTCCCTGACACTCTCCTATCTCAACTCACTACCTGACACTCTCCTATCTCAACTCACTGCCTGACACTCTCCTATCTCAAATCACTGCCTGACACTCTCCTATCTCAACTCACTGCCTGACACTCTCCTATCTCAACTCACTGCCTGACACTCTCCTATCTCAACTCACTGCCTGACACTCTCCTATCTCCACTCACTGCCTGACACTCTCCTATCTCAACTAACTGCCTGACACTCTCCTATCTCACTGCCTGCACCTTCACTTCCCGTGTTGTACCCCTCTGTACTCTCATCCTCCCTGTCCAATTGCCTATCAAGCCTGCTGCAACACTCTGTTCACCTCTTTGTTGACTGTATTCCTTGTTGTTGTGGAAATCAAATGTGTTTCTCTTCCAGGTCCTACATCAGGATGGGTCTTACGTGAAAACGATTGATAACGGTGCTATCGGTAGCCCGTATGGTGTTGCAGCACTGTCTCTGCCCCAGCATGGTATTTGGTATGCTGTAACCGATATCAATCACAGTTGTGTGAGAGTAAGTTAGTGCTTGTGTGGTGTTTATTGCTGAGATTTCTCAGAATTCTAATTTGATGGTTGCTATGATTAGCCCCAACATGGACTTTTTCTCTGTTCTCACAGCAGAGCAAGTAAATAGGTACAGCATTTGTTTCGTATCTGTACGTGTGGTGCGAAAGGTGCCATATATTTTTCTAAAACTCCTCCTTTTCCCAACACAACACCAGCACAACACAAAAACCTCTAGGAGAAAAAAATTTGTAGTACAGATAATGCAAGTTAGCAGTGAAGAGAGAAAGAGAAGAACAAGAGGAAGAACAAAATCACGAGCACTTAGTCCAGGAAAAGACACGTGGAACAAGGCATACAAAAGGGGGGCAGAACAACCAGTAATATCTCGTCGTGGCTGAAGCAGCTAATGCAACGACAGCCACCACGAAGTGCATGAAATAGATCTGAACATGAAGTGAAGAAAACAGCAACTCCAACAAAGAAACAAAACAAGATCAGCTACGTGACTAACCACAGCGTAAACAGCATTCGGCCTTTGAAAGTGTCTGCATTGATATTCACCATCATCATTGTGCTCTGTAGCCGATGACACACATCTACTCACCTGCCCAATACAGGGCACAAGAGGTTCCTTCGAGCATTGAGGTTTTATTCCTTCTGGCAGATGTTTTGGTCACTAAGACTTCATCGGAGAAGGTTGAGTTGTTCAATGGCTAGAAAAGAAACAATCACCTAGTTTATACTGACTCTTCCATGACTGTATGAACGTGAGCTAAATGAGACATGCGCTAGAAGAGAGAGCCGATGGTGCAGTGTAGATAGGGAGAGCATGGGGTTGATGCCAGGTGAACTACAAGTACTAGCATGACTGCTGTATCCATGCTATGTTGCAGTATATGTGCTGTGTTGCAGTATCCGTGCTGTGTTGCAGTATCCGTGCTGTGTTGCAGTATCCGGCAGTAACTATCACCTCTTTGCAGAGTGTCCCATGATTTCAGAAACCGGTTAACATTTTAACATCTTGCATTCACACTTCGAGTATCAAGTGCACGCTCATCAGCGCACTACCTCTCATTTCAAGTGCCAATATAACATATTTTAACGAGTGGAAGGTTCGATGGACATCTCGTGCACTCTACATGGCAGTAGTGAGTTAGGCAATTGAGAATTCAAGTTGGCAGGGAAATTTCGAGCTCCCATGTAAGGAGCAACACACATTTACCCAAGTATCACTTAAGTCGCACCAACATCTTCTTCACAGTATAAACTAGGCGACTATTTCTTTTCCAGTCATTCAACAACTCAAATTTCTCTGACGAGGCCTTAATGATTGAAACAATTGTCAGAAGGAATAAAACTTCACTGCTGGAAGGAGTCTCTTGTTGCTGTTCTGTGCAAGCGAGTGGATGTATGTGGTCGTCCACAGAGTGTAATAATGGTGGTAAAATAAAAATGTCAACGCAGCTACCTGACTATCCACAGCAAAGACATAAGCAATGACATCATCAGTCACGCTAGAATTCCGCATGCAGCCTTGCAGGCGCTGGTAAAATGGATAACACGGAAAGCACGAAAATTAATAACACAACAAGCGATCGTGGTAGGGAAACAAATAAAATTCAAATAAACTATTTCAAAGAATGATGGAAAGTGAAACGACTAGCACTAAAATGAGAACAGAACTCAGAACAAGAACAATGTAGGCCAAGTGGAAGCAGATAAGGATTGGTCTGGCCATGCCTAAAGTGATCATGGGTCATATAAAATCTTGTAGGACGCATCACGCAGCTTCATAAGTAATAAATTGGTTGTGAGCAACACTGGCTCACAACCAATGTTGTATGGGTCATATAGTTAGTCAATCATACACCACTGGAACAACGGCCAAAACCTGGCACTTACCCGGTATGAGTGTGGCTGTGAGGTTGTATCGAAACCACGGAGTAGAAAAACAACGGTTTTACAGTCGAAATGGTTCATTGACCCAGTTATTTAAATGCAATTGAAGCCTGCAGAAGTCACATCTTGAACAGTCAGACGAGCATGTATGCACGACTGTTCAAACGCCGAGTTTGGGTAGACAGCCACTGCTGGCAGGGACATTTTGGCAGAACAAGCAAAAACAGTAACTTCCCGGGTACGACGGGCTTTTCGAGTGCTCCAGACACAGTCGTGAGTCGGTTAAGTGTCAGGCCAGTCGACAGGAAGCGCGAGCTCCGACATTGGGAGAATGCAGTTTCTTCCCCTGACTCAGTGTAGTAACATCTTAGCTCGACTTCCAACACACTCCTCAAAACATTTCCTACCACTCCTCAATGGCTGAAAGACTTCCAAACACTCTCTGACTAACGCTTCAGTGCTCGGGATCAGCTATCAGTTGATCGACAGTTATTTTCCATTTTCGATGTGATTTTTCCAAGAAAAAATATCTGGGCCAAAAAGTTGGTCCGGCCATGGCTGGATCGAACAGACCAGTTCCGCCTGCCCTTCAATGGAAGCAGACTACGGATGACGCTGCATTGAGGTAAGAGGCATGACACACTCATGATAAATGGCACCACAACAAATACTTCCTCCGTTAAGCAGAACTTCGTTGCGTTTTTACAGTTCAGTTCGAATCATTCTATGGCTATGAACACGCTTTGCAGAGTGGAAAACAAGGCAGCATATGAACAATATTTACTTGCAGATGTCACACAGCTCGTTTTAAAGCAGTCCAGCTTCACTCTTCGTCTCAATCTGATGACAACTCACTCCCTGATGACATTGAGTCTGCATCCTCTCTGACTTTCGCCGCCAGCGCTGCCATCTTTTGTTCCGCAGCCTTTACAAGTTTCCAAGACACGATTATTTTGATTGTGGAGATCGCCAAGCTCTTCGCTCGAAATGTGAGCTTGACGACCTCAACGGTGGCACTGGTAGTTGTGGCCACTCTCCGGAAAGCCATGAAAGGAGCCATACAGACCCAAACAAACCCTCACCATCTTCACAGCTGTGTAGTCGTGCCAGCACGTTTCCACACCCTGCAGAAGCTCTTTTCTGGTTTTCTTCGCCACGAGTGACACGTCTGTCTACAGGCTGTGGAAGAACGCCAAGTCGCAGACATTGAGATCAGGATTTTGCGCCGACTGAACAACAACCTGAATGTCGAATGCTTTTAATTTCCCCTGTGCTGCGAACACAAGTGCATTGATTTTGGCTGTGTGCGGATGCCCACCATCGACTCAGCCTGAGCGCTGGCCGGCTCCTGGACACTTCTTCGAGCCACGCGGTCTTTCAAACTGTTTCTCATTTTTGCACTTTGGTGTCATGCGCGCTTGCCTGGGGTTGTGTTCTGGTGACATCCTGTCGAGAAACGGTTCTGCTTCGCCGATTTTTTTCAAAGGACTCCACGCTTTTCGGAGGTTCAAAAGATTGTCAGAACAATGGACGACAACCGTCAGCTACCCTATGTAGGGGATAGATCACTGACATGTATGTCTAATGTCGACAGAAATTTCATTACAAGAACACTAAAAGCGCAACGAAGTTTTGCTTAGCGGAGGAAGTACATATCATAATATTAGTTTCTATACATATTGACATTGTATTGTCAGAAATAGTCAGAAGAATGCTGATAGCTCTAGTGACATCCAACATCCGGATATTTAGCTCATCATCACGTGTATGAGTGAATTTCTGTAATGACAAACTATCACCTGCAAAATTTCCAATTTCATTCAAGTTGGATCTCGTTTTCACTGGTTGGCCTACATGACCCTCTATGATATTTTCGCAGAGGGACCCTCCGTTCATTGGCTATTGGACAAAGTCAAATATCTGCCTAAAGTATGCACTGAAACAAGGAACAAAAATTAATGACTTGCACAAAGATCTGAGCTGTGAGTGAGACAGAGCAACTCTCACCTAGCTCAGTGCACCCAGCATGCAGCAGTTATTGTGCCTGTTAACATCGATGGACACGAGTCATAAAGTACAGTCCATGTGGCTTTACTTTTCTGAACTTTCTACTAGTTCTTCTCAATTTAAGTCGTATGATGCTTCAGTCTGGTATGAAGAGCAAAAATCAGCCATAGTTTTGCTATTGTTGATAAGGAAGAGGAGTCATACTCGCAGACACAACGAACAACGAACAAAGAACAACGGGAACGGGTAGTTGGGAAGACATTTATTATAGATGAAGAGACGGTGACAAAGACGAACGAAGCAACTACATTACGAAAGAGAGAGAGAGCGAGATCGAGTGAGTGCGGCAATATGAAGGTCATGTGTAGCTATGGCAAACATGGGCGCGCAAGTAGCTACCCAGGTCAACGGAACAAAAGTTGACAAGAGGAGAAAAAAGGTGAGTACGAGTGTGCATGCAGGTCAGCTTGGAAAAGGTTGTAGAACATACGGTAGGATGTACCTAACACTATTCTAAATGGAACAACAGTAAAGGATAAAAAAGTTCATCTGAACAACCCCAGGACAATCCACAATCACAGGAAATGATTATCCAAGTAGCTTGGTACAATCCAACTCGGTCATGTGGATGATTCTGTAAGTTATCATGGGAAGCATATTGTTCGAAATCATAAAAATTGAAAAATTGCAGTTGTGAGAGTGTTGGTGTTGTTCTTAGGTTTAGCAGTAGAGAATCTTCAGTGTACAATCATCTGCTAGCTAGTCCTGATCGTTGCGATTCGTATTCCGACTCTTGCTTCACTGTATTGTGCCGTGGTCGTCAGTGTTGTGGACTACAGTTAAAAGTTTTGAAAGCCATATATCAGCCTTTGTACAAGCCTAATATATGTGTACAGAAAGATAACATAATATGGTTGAAAGTGTTCACGTAATGTGTCGGGTGTGGTGTGGTCAAGATTGGCCTTTGGTTTTCTATGCGAAATGTACTGCTGTTTTGTTTTCTCATTTTGTCCTTCTTTCTTTCTCTTGTTTTTCATTTGCAAGTTAATTGTTAGCACACACACTCGTGATTGCTCTTGCTTTTTAAATTGTTAAAATTCA